TGGAGCACTTCCTGTATCACCACATGACATCACAAGGTGGAGCAGAGTGTTTTTTGTTTGAGAGAAGAATCCGATCCAATACGACATTCGCTCATTCGTGTTTCAAAATAAAACAAAAAATAAGAAAACAACAAAAGACTAATTATTTTTTTCATTACTAAAAAACTAATTATTATTTTTTTCAGTTTTTGAATTTGTGTTTCAATTAAAAAAAAAAAAAAAAAAAAGGATGACGGCTGTTTCCCTTTTCTGTGACTTAAACCGCGATGCCGGACTTTTGTGCCGCAAAACTGACTGAATCAGGACTAAACCAGGACTAAACCGTTTTCAATCCTAGTCTGGTCCCAGTCTCAGTCCTGGTTTCAGTCCTGGTCTCAGTCCTGGTTTCAGTCCTGGTCTCAGTCCTGGTCTGGTCCCAATCTCAGTCCTGGTCTCAGTCCTGGTCCCGGTCCCAGTCCTGGTCCCTGGTCTCAGTCCTGGTCTCAGTCACGGTCTGGTCCTAGTCCCGGTCTCAGTCCCGGTCTCCCAGTCCTGGTCTCAGTCCTGGGTCTCAGTCCCGGTCTCAGTCCTCTGGTCTGGTCCCAATCTCAGTCCTGGTCTCAGTCCTGGTCTGGTCCCGCTCTGGTCCCGTCTGGTCCCGGTCCCGGTCTCAGTCCCGCCCTGGTCCCTGGTCCCGGTCGTCCCGGTCCCGGTGGTCCCGGTTTTCAGTCCCGCTCTGGTCCCGGACCTGGATCAGTCCTGGTTTAGTCCGTAAACTGTGCAAAAGTCCGACATCGCAGTCGCGGGAGTCACGTAAACAGAAAACCATTCTTCATTTAAACACAAAATCGAAAACTGAAAAAACAAATCATTTATCTTTTTTCATTTTGGTTTTGGAGACAAATAATAAAGAAAATAGTTGTTTTTTTGTTTTGTTTTCTTACTTTTGGTTTTACATTGAAAAACGAATGAACGACTGACACGCGGACGAACATTTGCTCTTGAGTTTCTCTTCTGTCGTTATCTGTCCTCCTCCTGCTCTGTTGTGTCTTCGTCTAAGTGAGTTGGACGTCGTGCTGGAGTTGGAGATGTGATCAGAGCCTGAGGTCTGCTCCACCCGAACACTGTGTCCTCTCCTCCACTAATCACCACCAGCGTGATTCAATTTATCCTCCTGGAGACGACGCCTAATGAAACTGACCTGCTGCACAGAGAGAGAGAGAGAGAGAGAGAGAGAGAGAGAGAGAAAGAGAGAAGGAGGGAGAGAAAAAGAGTGTGACACAGAGAAAGAGGAAAAGAGAAAGGGGTTGAGGGGACAGAGAGGGATGGAGAGAGAGACAGAGGGACAGAAAAAGAGTGTGACACAGAGAAAGAGAAAAACAGAGAGGGACACAGAGAGAGAGATGGACAGAGAGAGGGAGAGAAAGAGGGAGATCAAAGGAAAGAGGAAGAGAGGGACAGAGAGAAAGAGACAAACAGAGAGGGGTTGAGGGGGACAGAGAGAGAGAGAAAAAGAGGGAGGGAAAGAGGTGGAGAGGGACAGAGAGAGAGAGTGACAGAGAGAGTGACAGAGAGGGATGGAGAGAGAGACAGAATGAGGCGGAGAGAGATAGAGAGAGAAAGAGACGGGGGGCAGAGAGAGGGGGACGGAGAGAGGGAGAGACAGAGAGGGACAGAGAGACAGAGGGGACAGAGTGAGGTGGAGAGAGATAGATAGAGAAAGAAAGAGAGGGAGAGAGGGGGGAGCAGAGACAGACAGAGAGAGGGATACAGAGAGAGAGAGACAGAGACAGAGAGAAAAAAGAGAAGGACTGAGAGAGGGACAGAGAGAGAGAGAGAGAGAGAGAGACAGAGAGAGAGAGAGAGAGACAGAGAGAGAGAGAGACAGAGAGAGAGAGAGACAGAGAGAGAGGACAGACAGAGAGGGACAAGAGAGAAGAGAAGGAGAGAGAGGACAGAGAGAGACAGAGAGAGAGAGAGAGAGAGAGAGAGAGAGGGACAGAGAGAGAGAGACAGAGAGAGAGAGACAGAGAGAGAAAGAGAGAGAGAAGAGAGAGAGAGGGACAGAGAGAGAGACAGAGAGAGAGAGAGGGACAGAGAGAGAGAGAGAGAAGACAGAGAGAGAGGGACAGAGAGAGAGAGAGAGAGAGAGAGCAGAGAGAGAGAGAGAGAGAGACAGAGAGAGAGATTGAGAGAGAGAGACAGAGAGAGGGACAGAGAGAGAGAGAGAGAGAGAGAGAGACAGAGAGTGAGAGGAAGAGAGATAGAGAAAGAGAGAGATAGAGAGAGATAGAGGGAGAGGAAGAAGAACAGACAGAAAGGGGAAGATTAACAGAGAGAGAGAGGGATGGACGGAGAGAGAGAGACGGACAGAGAGAGGCACAGAGAGAGAGAGAGGGAGACAGAAAGAGAGAGAGAGAGAGAAAGTGAGTGAGAAAGAGAGAGAGGGAGAGACAGATAGAGAGAGACAAAGAGAGAAAGGGACAGAGAGAGGTGAGAGAGAGAGATAGATAGAGAAGAATGAGAGAGAGAGGGGGACAGAGAGAGGGAGGGAGAGGAGAGAGAAAGAGAGAGAAGGAGACAGAAAGAGAGTGAGAGGGACAGAGAGAGAGAGAGAGACTGATGGAGAGAGAAAGAGAAAGAGAGAGAGAGAGGGGGATGGAGGGACAGAGAGAGACAAAGATAGAGAGAGGGACAGAAAGAGAGAGACAGAGAGAGAGAGAGAAAAAAGAGAAGGATAGAGAGAGAACGAAATCCAGTTTAGTTCGTAGTACAGCAGCTGCATTGTTGAGTGTCCAGTGATCAACACATCCATGTTACTCTGTTCCACCTTGTGATGTCATGTGGTGATACAGGAAGTGCTCCACTGTGTTTTTAAACTCCACACACCTTCACTAGAATCATTTGGATCATTTCAGCCTTGGAATTGCCGATCTCTGCTTAACAAAAGGTAAAAGTAGCTGGAAAACTACCACTTCGTGACATAACAAGGTGGAACAGAACATTTCGAGCTTTGGAGAAGTAAACAGACACACAAACAGACAAACAGGATTATTCAAACATGTTACATGAATGTGTCATGTGAGTGACACATGAAACAAAGAGCACATTTTAATTTTCAGACAGGGCTGGGACGGGGTGTGGCTGGAAACAGAGATTTTTTTTTTTTTGAAGCGCCCAAACCTGAAACGCAGGACAAAACAGGATTAAACAAACATGCATAAATCAAAATACACATCTGATTCACGCATGTTTGACTGATCCTGAAGCGCAGGACAAAAAAACAAGATTAGACAAACACGTGTGAAGCAAAATAAATCTTTGAGTAAACTAATGACGAGGGAAAACTGTGGAAACACGGTTAGAGCTCATGAAAGTAAACACTAGGGATGTAACAATAACCGAAATATCGTGATATCGTATCGTCAAAGTTCTCACAATAATATCGTGGACCATCACAATATATCGAATCACAAGTTTATTTGCTTAAATTAAGAGTTATGGTGCAGCCAGTGTTGGGAAGATTACTTTTAAAATGTATTCCCCGACAAATTACAGATTACACACCCCAAAATGTAGTTTGTAACGGAATCCATTAAATTACTTAAAGTGAGTAACGTAATCTGAATACTTTGGATTACTTGGTTTGCTGTAGAGAAGCAAAGACTGGGAAATCATAACCTAAGATGTTTTGTCTGCTAAAAGACAATGAAAAGCCCAGACTTTACTCAATCAAATTAAAAATATTATTGATAGAAGAGGAAACACGGTCCATGGCAGCATGATTTAGTCCTGTTAAATCCTGTTTTAGTCCTGGTTTAGACCTGGGTTAAACCTGGTTTAGTCCTGGTGTAGTCCTGCTTTAGACCTGGTTTAGTCCTCGTTTAGACCTGGTTTAGACCTGGTTTAGACTTGGTTTAGACCTGGTTTAGTCCTGGTTTAGACCTGGTTTAGACCTGGTTTAGTCCTGGTTTTAGTCCTGCTTTTAGACCTGGTTTAGTCCTCGTTTAGACCTGGTTTAGACCTGGTTTAGACCTGGTTTAGACTTGGTTTAGACCTGGTTTAGTCCTGGTTTAGACCTGGTTTAGTCCTGGTTTTAGTCCTGGTTTTAGTCCTGCTTTAGACCTGGTTTAGTCCTGGTTTAGACCTGGTTTAGTCCTGGTTTTAGTCCTGGTTTTAGTCCTGCTTTAGACCTGGTTTAGTCCTCGTTTAGACCTGGTTTAGACCTGGTTTAGACCTGGTTTAGACTTGGTTTAGACCTGGTTTAGTCCTGGTTTAGACCTGGTTTAGACCTGGTTTAGACTTGGTTTAGACCTGGTTTAGTCCTGGTTTAGAACTGGTTTAGTCCTGGTTTTAGTCCTGGTTTTAGTCCTGGTTTAGCCCAAAATGTGAAAACAGGAAAATACCGCCGTGTAATCCATTTATTCAAACAAAGTAACTGTAATCCAATTACCACTCACTGAAACAGTAACTGTAACTGAATACAGTTACTCATAATTTGTACTCTGATTACGTAACTCCGGTACATGTAATCTGTTACTCCCCAACACTGGGTGCAGCAATAGTTAAACAAAGACAGAGGGAACTACATAGACCATGATCCTTTGCTCCATTTCAGTGCAGACGACAAGAAGAAATAACAGTTCTAAGCACTTTTAAGTTTTGTCAAGACATTTTAAGAGGAAAAAGAAGTGTATTAATAGTTTTGTTTAGCCTCCCCAAAATATCGCAATAAATATCGTACCGTGAGATATGTATCGTGAAAATATCGTACAGAGATTTGGATATTGTTACATCCCTAATCGTGATCTTTCCCACGATATCGCAGTAAATATCGTAGAGTGAGGTTCATACTGTGACAATATCGTATCGTGAGACTTGGATATCGTTACTTTCCTAGTAAATACTGCATAATATTTCACCTTTAAGAAAAATTTTACTCCTGATATTTGTGTCTAAACTCGCACTCCTCTTTCTTCTCTCTTTCTCCTCCGTCTTTCTTGTTTCTCCGTTTCGTTCAGGAGGTGCACCGGGTGACCACCGCAGAGGCGCTGAAGCGAGGAGAGAAGGATGATGCCGGGGCCAGTGAGGTGGGCTGGATGACCTCTGTCAAAGACTGGGCCGGAGTCATGATCTCAGCCCAGACGCTCACCGGGAGAGTCCTGGTAAGTCCACCGCCAGACGGGTTATAGTCCTGGTCTAAGTCCTGATCTAGGCCAGTTATTGTCCCGGTTAAGTCCACCACGAGTCTGCTTATTGTCTTGGTTTAAGCCCCACTCAATCCGGTTACAGTCCTGGTAAGAACCCTCAAGTCTGGTTATAGTCCTGGTGTAAGTCTTAATCTAGTTCAGTTATAGTCCTGGTTCAAGCCCCACTCAAGTCCGGTTATGGTCCTTGTACCTCCCCTCTAGTCTGGTTATAGTCCTGGTGTAAGTCTTGATCTAGTCCAGCTGTAGTCCTGGTCTAAGTCCCCCTCAAGTCCGGTTTAAGTCTTGGTCTAATTCCCCTTGAAGTCCAGGTATAGTCCTAGTTAAATCCACCTCAAATCTGGTTATAGTTCGGGTCTAAGCCCCACTCAAGTCCGGTTATGGCCCTTGTACATCCCCTCTAGTTTGGTTATAGTTCTGGTGTAAGTCCTGATCTAGTCCAGTTATAGTCCTGGTCTAAGTCTCCCTCAACTCCAGTCTAAATTTTGGTCTAATTTCCCTTGAGGTCCAGGTATAGTCCTGGTTAAGTTCGCTTCAAGTCCTGGTTTTAGTCCTGGTTTCAGTCCTGTTTGAAGTTCTGTTTGAAGTTCTGGTTTTACTCCTGGTCTAAGTCCACCTCAAGTCCGGTTTAAGTCTTGGCCTAATTCCCCTTGAAGTCCTGGTATAGTCCCAGTTAAGTCCGCTTCAAGTCCTGGTTTTAGTCCTGTTTTCAGTCGTGTTTGAAGTTCTTTTTGAAGTCCTGGTTTTAGTCCTGGTCTAAGTCCACCTCAAGTCTGGTTATAGTCCTTGTACATCCCCTCTAGTCTGGTTAAGCCCCACTCAAGTCTGGTTTTAGTCCTGGTGTAAGTCCTGATCTAGTCCAATTTGTCCTGGTCTAAGCCCCCTTCAGGTCTGGTTTAAGTCTTGGTCTAATTCCCCTTGAAGTCTGGGTATAGTCCTGGTTAAGTCCGCTTCAAGTCCTGTCCGTTTTCAGTCTTGTTTGAAGTTCTGTTTGAAGTCCTGGTATAGTCCTGGTCTAAGTCCCCCTCAAGTCCTGGCTTTAGCCCTGGTTTAAGTCCTGATCTTGTTTGGTTATAGTTCTATGTGAGTCCTAGTTTAAGCCCTGATATAGTCTGGTTATAGTCCTGGTGTAAGTCCTGGTTAAAGTCTTAGTCAAGTCTAGTTAAAGTCCTGGTTTAAATCCTGCTCAGGTCTGGTTAATTCTACCTTTTGTTTTCATTCATGTCAAATTGTGAATATGTTACTTGCTACATGCCCAGTACATATAAACTCTAAAGTAGTAGTAGTAGTAGTAGTAGTAGTAGTTAGTAGTAGTAGTAGTAACATATTAGTAGCTTGTTATAAAAGTCCTTTTCTTTGGTCGCTGTTTCTTTTTTCTCACCTGCTCCTGTTTGATCCGAGCCGGCAGAGGTACTTTTCTCTAAATGTCACGTCCGGAGCTGAGTCAGACCTGTGCCCCTGTGCCATTACCTCGTCCCCGGTAACGGACTCATTACGTCGTTTGTGTCCATGGTAACAGAGCTATTACATCACCGTTTTCTTAGGTAACAGCACTGACATTGTTAGTGTAGGAGGCAGACTTGATAACAACTTGGGTCACTTTAGAACTCTTTTATGTAACTTTGTACTGTCATTTTTATAATCTGATGTATTATTATTAAATTTGGGTAACAGGAAGTGATGTAATTGTTGTCAATGGTAACAGAGATGACATGACTAGTGTCCTAGGTAACAGGGATGACATCGTTAGTGCCCTGGGTAACAAACAGATGACATCGTTAGTGTCCTCATTAATGGGAATGACATCTCTTGTGCTCTAGGAAACAGAGGAATGACATCGTTAGTATCCTAGGTAACAGGAATGACATTTTTAGCATCCTAGGTAACAGGGATGACATTGTTAGTGTCCTTGGTAACAGAGGAATGACATAATTAGTGTCCTAAGTAACAGGAATGACATTGTTAGAGTTCGAGGTAACAGAGATGACATCGTTAGTGTACTCGTTAACAGGAATGACATCTCTTGTGCTATAGGAAACAGAGGAATGACATCGTTAGTATCCTAGGTAACAGGGATGACATCGTTAGTGTCCTAGGTAACAGAGGGGTGACATTGTTAGTGTCCTAGGTAACAGGGATGACATAATTAGTGTCTTGTGTAACAGGGATGACATCATTAGTGTCCTAGGTAACAAATAGATGACATCGTTAGTGACCTAGGTAACAGAGGGATGACATCATTAATGTCCTAAGTAACAGGGATGACATTGTTAGTATCCTCGTTAGCAGAAATGACATCTCTTGTGTCCTAGGAAACAGAGGAATGACATCGTTAGTGTCCTTGGTAACAGAGGAATGACATAATTAGTGTCCTAAGTAACAGGAATGACAGCGTTAGTGTCCTAGGTAACAGAGGAGTGACATCATTAGTGTCCTAGGTAACAGGGATGGCATCGTTAGTATCTTAGGTAACAGAAGGATGACATCGTTAGTGTCCTAGGTAACACATGGATGACATAATTAGTGTCTAGGTAACAGGGATGGCATCGTTAGTGTCCGAGGTAACAGAGGAATGACATAATTAGTGTCCTAGGTTATAGGGATGACATCATTAGTGTCCTAAATAACAAATGGATGACATTGTTGGCATTGTTAGTGTTCTAGGTAATAGAAGGATGACATATTTACTGTCATAGGTAACAGGGATGACATCGTTAGTGTCCTAGGTAAGAGAGGAGTGACATCATTAGCGTCCTAGGTAACAGAGATGGCATCGTTAGTATCTTAGGTAACAGAAGGATGACATCGTTAGTGTCCTAGGTAACACATGGATGACATAATTAGTGTCCTAGGTTATAGGGATGACATCATTAGTGTCCTAAATAACAAATGGATGACATTGTTGGCATTGTTAGTGTTCTAGGTAATAGAAGGATGACATATTTAATGTCATAGGTAACAGGGATGACATCGTTAGTGTCCTCGTTAACAGAAATGACATCTCATGTGTTCTAGGAAACAGAGGAATGACATCGTTAGTGTCCTAGGTAACACATGGATGACATAATTAGTGTCCTAAGTAACAGAGATGACATCCTTAGTAACCTAGATAACAGAGGCATGACATAATTAGTGTCCTAAGTAACAGAGATGGCATTGTTAGTATCCTAGGTAACTGGGATGACAGCGTTAGTGTCCTAGATAACAAACGGAAGATATCGTTAGTGTCCTAGGTAACAGAAACTTACATGTCTTATGTTCTAGGAAACAGAGGGATGACATAATTAGGGTCCGAGGTAACAGAGGTGATATCGTTAATGTCCTAGGTAACAGAAATGACATAATTTCTGTTCTAGATAACAGGGATGACATTGTTAGTGTCCTAGGTAACAGAGATGACATAATTTGCATCCTAAGTTACAGAGATGACATCTCTCGTGTCCTAGGTAACAGGGATTTCCTGGGTGACAGGGTCGTATAAAATCACTAGTATCATCATCCCAGGGAACACTACATAACATAACCTGAGTTTTTAGTGGGGCAAAGAGTAGGAGTTGAGGAGATGACACAAGTAGCTCCTATTTGTTTGACATTGTCCAGTTCATACAAGTTTTTAGCTTCTGGTGCATTTTTTCGTTAATTGCTCCAAAGACCAAGGCTCCCACTCTCAAGATAAGGACGACTCCTCTTTCTGCCTCTTAGACTATCTTTCTTTATTTTGTTTTGTTTTACTAAGACCCACAATTATTCAAACCCAGCGTCAGATAAGAGACAGAGTGAGTAAAAACGTGTGGACTGCTGCCAAAAAAAGAGAGTCTGCAGTATAGATTTGGAGCTATTTAAATTGCTAATGACATATGTACACAGTGCACCTTTAAGTTTCGATATTTCTACCAAAAAATAGTGAATCCTCCTTAAAGTTGTACTGGCCCCTGTCTGAGTTTGAAAATCCTGAATAATCCATAATATAAAACGACGGAATTTGACCTCGTTTAGCCCTTGTTTAGAATCCACTTGCTCCTCCTTGTTTTTCATTAGTCCGTCTATGGGTCGTGTGTGTTGCCGCTAACGACCTCGTCTCTCGTCTGTAACCATGGTAACGGGCAGCAGCAGATGTTGTGACTTCCTGTTTCCTGGTTCGGGCTTGTGTTAATGACAGATGCACAGGACGTGGGCTTAATAGCTCTAGTTTTAGTCCCTTGTTTTTAATTCGGAAGCTTTTACAGGCGTCTTTTGTGGTGCCCAGCTGTGCCTCTCCCTGTTTAAGCTCTCGGGACGGTTTAATAGTTATTATTTTTAGGTTTGTTCATGTTATAAAAACAGATCTGGAGTGTGCAATCAAAACTGCACATAGACTATAACACGACTCCAGATCTGTTTTTGATGAGGAAACAACATTATAACAAATCAGAAAATTGCGAGTTATGGACCGATTAAAAGATAGAAAATGAGTTGGAGAAGGACAAGTGGGTGGTCCGTGTACCATTTGTTCTTTTGAATTTCAATTAAGAATGAAAAACAATAAAATGGGAAAACAGTTTGTTATTTCATTATTCCGTTATAGTGACAAACAAAAAAAAAAAAACAAATTTCAACCTCTATTTCGGGTGGAAAATGGTTTTGAATTATCTGGATCTAATTTGCTTTAATAAACATTGTGCCATTTATAACCAAGTCAGCCACAGCGGTCCTGGAGCAGCTGTATTATTTCTTACAAAAATAAGAACTACATATGAATTAAACATTGTTGTCATGGTTACAGCTATAATAGCAGGAGGCTGGATGTCCTTTAAAACTTTCTAAAATAAACAGTGAATGTAGTTTGTTTTTAATATATTTTTACCAGGGTTATCCCGGTCCGATCCAGTCTGCAATCATGTGATCGGCGCCAATTTCTGATCAGATGACTGCAGACTGGATCCGGACTTGGATGTTATGTTCCGATCAGGTATCGGATA